AAAATTCCATTATAGCGTCATATAGTACTGAATACTGAACGTCCCAGAATTGGATAACCGATAGCACTATTTCCCGCAGAAAACTTTAAGTTTTCTGCGATGCAACGGTGTCAAGAGTAAAATATAGAAGTAATTTATCGGGATCAAGATTGAGTGCTTTTAAGTAAGTAAGTCTTGCAATCCGCTTTTAAAGTGTATATTACATTCGAATATTATGCGCGCTTCTGTATTGTGCCGCCTCGAAAAGTTAACGGTTGTAGCGGAAGTAATTAGAGAATTCTTTTCCTCGTGGACTTAAATCCGGACATTCCCTCATGAATTGTAAATGTGGCCAAGTTTTTTAATCTTAGTATCGCATCTGGAATCTCAGATTGTCTATTTATAATTCGCTCTCCTCGCTGTAAATACGCCGGCGAACGGAAGGGTGTTTCGATTATCTCAAAAATGGAACATCGAGGGATTTATTCGGATTTATTCGGATTTATTAGAAATTCTCATCTGTTTTTTTAAATAAATCACAAATAATTTTTATTATAAATTATTACTTAAAATAATTATTTTTGCATCTTTTTTATAAATTAATAGAGCTAAAAACGCGATATCGATATATAATAATTTTAAAAGCGATGTCAAATATTCATGGAATAAAAGATGTTTTTTTTTTTCATATTTTCCATCGTTTCCATTATAATGATAGTGAAATATATCTTGGCATATTTTTCGAAAAGAGCAAATATACATTTTCCGAGGAAATGTTAACTTTATCCTTTCGTGTGATGGTCGTTCGGACAAAAGATCGTACTTTTCTTTCCGACCCGTCAGAACGTCCTTTCAGTTATACATGCAAATAATCTTTCGGTGTTCCTGAAACGGCAGCCTCACTGGGAGAACAAAATTTGAGGATGTGAAAAATAATAATAACCGTAAAAAGGTGCTCAAGGCACGACGTAGAAATTCCAGAAATAGTACCATCTTATTTGAATTATTAGCAACAATTTTGAAGAGATGTTTTGCGCAAACGGTTTTCACGTCTTATACGTCTCTGTCACTATTGTAAATATCACATATTTTGCTTGAGAATCGAAGAAAAATCGCTGTTTGTAGAGAGAGGCGAATACGTTTCAGTTCAGTGATGTGAATCGTCTACATATTTGTGAAAATTCATTGCAAGATCACGCGTCTGGAAAATCGATTTATTTATGCGGGCTTCAATGCAAGAATGGATAATTTGCATTAAACCAATCACAGAAAAGTATAAACTTAATAAACAGAAAGATCTGCGTGTTAATCGCACGCGATTCATTTCGTGTAAACATAAAATATTAATTCAATGAAAAAATTGTATAATTAATATATTTTTAACAGAATTTTATAAGAAAAACAAAATATTATTTTTACGGATAATATTTTAATATGTTATATTATAATATAAAATAAAAAGTTTATTAGATAAAGTATCTGTTTCTATCTATTACGTATTAAATGTACCAAAAAATTTCAAGAACATAAGATTCCAAAGTTCTTACACCCCCGAGACGTGAAAACCCAAGAAATCAATGACTCGAGGATTTGAAAAAGTAAAGATACAAGAATCTCCTAAACTTGCAAAAGCAACAATTTAAGGATTAAAAATAGCGTCAATACGACGTAGATTTTATAAAATCTAAAGACAACCTGGCAGTAATCACCTGTTTTTTTTTACGTAAACGATTATAGAAGCTGTTGTATGTCAATCAAAATCATAGTATTATTAATATATATTATATTATCGATTGTATTCCAGTTTATCAATATTTGAGAACATTAATGGATATGAATTTAATTATAATTTAAAACAAGGGTAGAAATCAAGCAAATTAATTAAATAAGCACGTTAAATAGCTTATTGAGTATTTCTAAAAAATAAAAATTTGTTTATTAATATAAGATTTAGAGAATATTTTATTGCGGCTTTTCGATGGAATGGCATATTTAAAGATTTGTAAAGAATAGTTATTAAAAAAGAAAGAAAATATATAAGAAAATAAAATAACATTCTACAATAATTCACAATTTCTCACCGCTGGGGTGAAAAAATAAAGTGATTATTCCCGGTTAAATAAATACAATGAAATTAATAAAAAAATTAATACGAAAAAATTAAAAGATGCCTCAACTCGATGAATCGCGAAAGCTCGATTTAAATACATGCCCTGTGCGACTTCGTGAGTACGCACGGTGCTTCATTGACACGCTATTCAGCGCATTCACGCCTGCACGCATGTGCGTGATACGAAACGCGATTACGGGCGGCCGTCGTAGCGGCGCGGTAACGGTGGAGTTTCACGAAGTCGTCGTCGTCGTCGTCGCGACGACATTCTGATCTGCATTTAAATTGGAAAAAAAGCGTTAAGCTTCACGCGTCGTGAACACGCTACAACTGCGGCCGCGAATTTTTACATGCATAGCGGATGTGTGATAATTCTGTTACACATCATCAGATGAAACAGTAGCGAGTTTTTCTACTCGAGTTTCCTATTCCTCATGTAGATTCATTGTTCTGATATGATAAATGATAAAAATTTAAAAAAATAATTTTCTCTTTGTTACAATAATGAATAATTATCTAGAAAACAGATAGAAATCTCATTGTTTTACACCGATATGTTTTTGATTACGGCGAATAATGTTTTGTAAATTGAGAATTAATGGTATATAACTTGTTAATGGAGAAGGTTGTTCGATCGAATGACGTGCACATATACATACGTTATCTAAACGTACATATATGCCATTAGTGGAATTTATAACTATGCAATTTGGATAGAATGTTATATAATTTAAATGCAAATAAAATTTCTTTTTCCATATGCATTACGAAAAATACTATAATTTAATATAACCGTCGAATTGTCTAGAGAAATATGTGCACAAAAGTATGAAGTCAAACAGAATTTCCATTTCCCAATATCGCAATATCTGAGTATTTTACGTAGATTTTATGATATTATAGAATACTTATACATGCGTGCATACCTCCTTTATGAACATTATACATATTTCACAGCTAGTAATAAAATAAAAATACTTCTGCAGTTCGTTTGTTTCATTATTTCTTTCATTTTTGATTGATTGCTTTTGTGTATGTGATTGAAGATATATTTTAACATTCATGCTAGCATCGTAGCACAAGATCGTATAGAAGAAAAAGATTTTTCCGCTTAATATTTTTCGACAACTTTATTGTTGCCTCGAAAACAGCAATGCTTGTTATTTTGGTAACAATGTGGCTGTTGTTACTTACATATGTGGTATCACTCGTGGCAACACACACGTTGTTTCGAATAGCTTTTAGTCGATTTTATTGCTCCATAAAGCATTCAGTGATGTTGACGCACAGGCATCGAAGCTGTAGGGTGCACTATCGTATATACCACGTGACGATAAATTGTTTTACATCTTTCATTGAGATCTTGCCAATCTTTCAAAGGCGCAATGTAATTTACCATATCATGCAAAATTATGGCCGATAAAATATTATTGTGATATAAAAGTATAGCAATATCCGTATATACCTGTTACGAATATGATATGGAAACTAATCGTAAAATACAATTTAGCCATAAATATAGAGGAAAGCTCCCTATTATAAGATAGGCGCCTAATATGAGATAGCGGCGTTTCTGCTAAATTAATAGACGCTATCTATTGGTTCCACCATGAATTTATTGTTCTTGGATTGAAAACTGTTTAGTAAAAAATTCATTATTAGATCATGCCTGTAATCATCGGAAAAAAAGATTTTAGAATTTGGACATCTTCAAGTTTCATTGAGATGAGCCTTTAAATATTGTTTATTATTTAATAATTAAATATTTGGCAATAAATTCTTCATATAGTAATAGAGTAAGGTTGTACAAATAGAAAAATATGGGATATGTTGAAGTGCTTAATTACAGAAGTTAGATGATTTGATGATCGGAAAACCGTGAAAATCGAAATATGAGATACCCAGGATATTTCTAATATGAAATAACTCATGCTCCCATGTCATAGTGAAAATTGTTAGCTAAAGTATAAATATTATTGTACCTTTTAATAAAAAGGACAACCAGAATAAACGTCGAGTGCCTATTTCTGCGATGCTTGATTTCAATTACCTAAAGACAAATTCTAGATATAATATATCGCATACTCATTTTTCGTCTACCCTGGCTGTGTTTGTTTGTATTTAAGAAACATTAAATAAAGTTTTTTAGTTGTAATACTGATATACTTTGCGTTTTACTATCGATTTCTCGAGGCATCTCATATTAGAAGCACAATTTTTTGATTTTGCGATTTGCTCACTTTTTACATTTCTTTAATTTAAAAAAATAATAAAATTTGAATTAAATTTTATATAACATTATCTTAAAGCCTATTAAATTCCCTTCAAAATGACCTATTATTATTTAAAATTCTGTCCATAGATTTCTAGCATTTACTCAAAATGATCGATATCTCATAACAAGGGCCTTTCCTCTACCAATTTTTCGGGATGTACAATTTTTTCCTTTTATTAATAAAAAATTTTTTACAGACGAAATGCGAAATTGTATTTGTAAATATATCGAAGAAGTATTAAACTACATGAAAAGGATGATTTTGCTGAAATGTAGCTAAAAATTTAGCTAAATACAAATCTGAAAATAATTTTGTTAAATCATAAAAGATTATATAGAACGCTTAAATGTTGACAGGCAAAAATTTTAACATTTTAGCAATCAGTTTAGGAATTCTACATAAATATTTTAATAGTTCAACAAAATTATTTTCAGATCTGTATCTAACTAAATTTTTAGATATTTCAGCAAAACATTTTTTTCATATATAAAATCGATATTGCACAAATCTCCTCGCGTCACAAATTTTACATCCTACAAATTTTAATTATAAAATCGAAACTCGCAAGCGTCATATCTTTCTTCATACGTGTACTGTACGAGTGTTCTATAAACAGAAGATTCATGTGTGCTTACCTGGATGATTCTCGATTTGTTGAGGATCGTGTTTCCCGATGGCTGATAGCGTTCCATGTCCCTCAGGATGCTACGTACACCGACGTCGTCCGCGTCGACCAAACGAAAGGCAGTGATATTGACAAAATTGTACTTGAAGTCCTCGAGATCGAAGGTTTCGATATCCTGTGGAAAAGCGAGCGAGCGAATCGAGTCGCAGACCAAGTGGATCTTGTGCGTTTCAATATCCCTAGGGTACTTACGAAAGTCGTGAAGAGGTAGTGGTACTTGTAATCATTCATCTGCAGCTGCAGGATCTACAATGTATGCGAAACTATACGGTTAGTCGAGACCACTTTTGTAATAGAAAACATTATATGTAAAATACAAATCTATTTTAAAATCGGAACATGCCCAAACTTACGGTTATTTTTATCTCAAAAATATTTTTTTACGTATAAATTTTTGGAACAATTTAGAATCAATTTTTTTTCAACAAAAATTTATCTAAACATCCTTTCCCATAATTTTTTAATATCCAAATATTTTTATAATTAACTAGCAGATTTTTTTTTCAAATCAATGATAACAGCAACATATTTGAAAAATAATTTATATACGTATATAATACGTATAAAAAATTTAGGTGTAGATTCAATATCATGAATGTTAAATATAATTCTCACCGTGTTTGTGTTAATGTATATAAATACTAACACAATGTAAATTTAATGCTATTAGTTTTAAACCATAATATTAAATTCATACTCATGAAGTTAAATTAAATCCATGTTGGATTATATCACCATTATACGGTAAAAATTCTATAAACATCGCAAAATGTAAAATCCACATTCGTATTTTTTTTAGAAGATATGTGTTAATGTAATATGTGTGCAGAGTGATTTACCATTCGTAGAAAATGATGCATGTGCTCGGATTTTGTGTCCACGATGATATTTCGAAATTCTTTGCTCTTCATTTCGGAAAGGACCTGCCTGTACGAGTTGGGATCTGCCTGCCGGAGACTGACTTCGATACCACGGATTTTCGGTGACTTCACCAGCTCCCGAAGCTTCATTAATCCTAAAAGTCGAAGTAGATATGTATTTATCTCAATTACACATGTACTCCAATAGCACAAAATATAAAAAGTTAATTTATGAAGATTGTCGATGTCAACACGAGCAAATCATTTGTTTCACGATCTCCGCAGGAATTATCAGGTCGGTCGCTTAATGACACGGAAACCCGTGAATCGCGCTATCCGACGAAATCAATACTCTCTAGCGCCTAAGTAATCAAGGTATCTGACTTGCAGGTCTTCCGGGGAGACACAGGCTCTGTTCTCTTGCAAGTTACCCGCTGGAACTTTGGCTCTTGAGATTCCGACGCGTGTTGGAGACGAGCGGCAACGTTTCGGCCTGTCAGTTTCTATTGGGCACAGAGTGCCGACGTCGAGATAATTTCGATAAACTTCCCATGCAAACCATCTGCTGATTGATGCGGTCGAGTTTACTTGAGTGTATTGACGTCTAAGCCGATCGTATTGATTATATCATGTTAATATATATATTAGGTAACACAAGTTTATATTTATTCGCTTAAATGCTTCTAATGATATAAAATAATAAAATCACACATGATCTATTAGTTTTACTTGCATCGTTAATTCAATCAATTAATATCAATCATTAATTTAATTTGAAGTAGAAAATTTTATACATAACTGTATAGATATGGGTTACACTTCTATTTTGTAAAAAAAAAAAAAAAAACGGTAAGGTGTTACTTGAATAAAATAGAAATTCGGTACCATCATAGATCGTTCTTTCAGAAAAAAGAAAGGAAGAAAAAAAAGGAAAATGTACTTTGTCATATATTCTTGTACGTTCAAGTGATAGCAGTAATTAATCTAGGAGCGAGTAAGAAACCGAGTTTAATTGAAGCCGTGTCGAGCATCTCGAGTAAGACCAATGTTCTCATGTAAGCAGATTTTGTATCCTGGGGGACAACAGTCGGATGACTATCTTGGGAAACACTATGAATAACTGGCTGGAAGTTAAGCGTACATGTTTCACTAAAGCCAATACTGTGACCACCGAATGTAGTATCTTTGCGGTCGTCACATATCAAGTCGTGTATAAAGAAAATAGTGATAAGAAAATTATTTTTGCGTAATAGTATAATACAAATTCAATATTTATAAAGATCTATTTTATAAATATTATATAACTTATCGATTATATGACTTATATTTATTGTGATATTATCAAGATATCTCATCGACGTACTTTTCACTACAATTTGTTTCAATTTTAATCATAAACAATTATTCTAAAAAATTTTCAAGCGTGTAATTTTTTTAAAATTTTGCATAATTATTAAAAAAGAATAATTATAATTATTAATAAATTAGTACTTTGCGCAAGACGTGATAACGAAAAGTTTAAACAGGTAATGAAATTGGTAAGCGTTACAGTTTGAATTGAAAATAATAAGTTGAATATACGGTTGCGGTTTGTGGTGTGACTCGTTGCAGTTTAAATTATGAACACTCTGTGTATACCAAGAACAGACTTTCATGGGAGTCGTTTGAAATGGCGGTTTTAATTAAAATAGCATTTCGAGCGTTTTACTGCTCTTCGTAATTTCGCGGACAATATGCGAGATAGAGATCGGAAGAGAAAGAAAGAGAGAGACAGCGGTACCTTTTATTAAAATTGACATGGCGAGAAGCCATAAAGAGGATGCGTTATCGCGAGTTACGTTTCAAGGCATTGTAACAGAGTACGAACATCCATCAAAGTGGAAGGGTGGTACGTCGTTTACGATTCTACAATGAGAGAATTGTACCGTTTACAGATTACTAACTAGGGAATTGGCATTGCCTGACTTAACGTACGTTGTGTTTAAGGAATACCGAGGAAGACCGCATTTCTAGAGAGCAAGACGTGACGTGCGGAAATGAGCGCAATGCGACGCAATTTCTCACTACGATCCGCGTCGCGGTTTTGAACTTAACGGCATAGTATTATCCTGGCTTTCAACGGCGAGCATTGAGAAATGTTTCTGCAATATTTTGCATGTTTACGTATAATAAAATTTATATAATAAACGTGTTTCATAATTTTATATTTTTGTATTTGAAAAGAATGATGATATAGGAATCAGAATTTACTTCACATTTTCTGTTTTTGATTAGACTTTAAAGTGTTCGTATTTATTATACTTTCTAGAAGAACTTAATAACATTTGTTTGACACTCAACTGATCACAAATTCGTAGAGAGAAGGTGGTGATTATGAGTGTAGATGTAATGGCCCTTTTTAATTTCTTCGCTATTAGGTGACCAATTTTAGTATTGTAATTACTTATGGAATTATTTGTTTAGTTACCATTATACCATAATGCTAATATGCTAAATATTCAGTATTTTTGCTTTCAAGCATTTTGAAACATTTTCAATATAGGTTATATTTGAATCAATTGCGATTAAGCATAAATCGAGAAAAAACAGCCCGTTGTTTTAATCCAATCGATAATCCTACAATAATAGTAATAAAAATCGTTAATAAAAAAGAGTAAAAATAGAGATAGAAAATCACTAAGAAAAATAAAGAGCTAAGTATCACTGACGTCGTACAAATCATGGGAGAGACCTTACCAAGATAATTGGTTGCACCACTTATATAAGAATTCTACGAGGCGCGAGATGAGAAAAAAATTACAAGTCGAACTAAACGTGGCGGTACCTGACAATAATTTCTCTAAAGAGTTACAGAAGAAACGTTCGTATCTATTCCTATGGAAGATAGATTATCATATTGGTTTTTATATATTCTAATAACGACCACTTACGATTCGTGCTCGAAATGTCGATATGCCTCGACAGTGCGAAATATTGCGCTGAGTTGGCGCACGAAAGGAAGCTGTCAACGATTACTTGCTTCTTCCTTTTTCGTTCCTCACCTCGAGTGGATCGCGCGGTGACAGACGATCGAAATAATTGGATCGCCGGCTGTCTTAAACATGCGCATTTCAAGAGGACGGCCGAATGAATATTGAAGGTGCGAGCGAGCGGCGGCAGCTGAAAGATTCGATTTGGAAGTACTTTGAGAAATAGCGCTTTAGAATATAAATGCATTTTTTGTAAAAAAGATACTTGATGACGCTTTTAATAATATTCCAAGAAAGTAAGAGGGACAACTTTACTTGCGGAGTTGCAATTATATTTCGACAAAGAATGAAGAAAATATAGCAAGTGCTTTTGTGAAGAAGTTTCTTACAAAAAGTTATATAGTTGATTATTTCAAATTTACTACTATTATATACATGACATTTTAAAGAAAGTTATATCTCTTAAAAATCTCAAGATATTCTTTTAGATAAAAATTCCATATTGAAAAAAGCAAAAAAGAAAAGATCGATCAATGTACTGTAATATACAAAACTAAATAAATTTTTATTTATGCTTTAATTCTATTGAAATTTCCAAATATTACTTTGCTGTAGTAATAATAAAAAATAATAAAAATAAGACGCTAATGTTTTGTAAATATATTAATTTCAAATTCAATTAGATACAGTTAAATTTACAATTCAATTGAATCCAAACAGATACTTTTAATTTTTATTTTTTCACAAAAACAAAAACAAATAGTATTGTAAAAATCAAATAATAAAAAAACAGAAAACAAATTCGCATTTGATATTTTATTAAATAATTAAATAGTTTTAATAACTGTAGCTATAGCGTGTTGTTGAAAATGTTTGAAAAATATTGAAATACACACTATATACTAAAATAAAGCCCTTTACAAATGTCCTATAAAATAAATAATTGAAGAGAAAAAAATAAATACATATGTTTAGTTATAAAGATATTTTAATAAAAATATGCAATCACATTTTAAACTTGCAGATGATTTTATTCGCAAATATATTCTTTTATTGACATATAAATAATCATTTTTTCTTTTTGTTATGCATAACTGTCCTTAATAAAATTAAATAGGATGTAACAATACATTTTCTTTCGCGTATAGTTACATTTTACAACAATGATGTCCTCCCTAATTCATTGACTATCACTGGTTAGCGAGGACCTTCTTTCAAAATGATATTGTACGAAATGGACTTTCATTAACTACGTCATTAACTACGTCATTAACAAGAATCGTGAAGAGGCTTGTTTTCGGAAGATTTGCTCGTTCCATTGGGACCGGTTAGTCGTTCGTGCGGAAAGACGACATACCGAGGAACTTCGACGAGATCGCCGAGTTATACGAAAAGTTCATGAAGACTTTCGCTGCGTCTGGGAATAAATTCCCACTTTTGCGACCTCCATCGCATCGCCATGGTTTAGTTATTGGGTAAAACATACGTGCTCAACTGGACACGTTATATGGGTTGGTCATAAAATTCTCATTATGACAAGGGGAAATTCTTGCTCATGTACGCAAGAATGCATCATGCGGTAGGATATTCGCGGAGAGATCTCCGCAAAATATGATAGTGACCATGTATAATTTTCACGAATGCACCACTCATGCTCCTTGCGTATTCTTCGGACTTCCTCGTAATTACCGTAGTATTACGCTCAGATTCTGTGAAGAATTTCGCCAGAGTTCGTGTTTAGAAGCAAAACCATTTAGAACACGTGACTGCGAAATTAGAGAGGAACAAGTCTGCTTAACGAAATTTGAAAATACGTGAGAGAAATTATTGATCTCTTAATAATATTCAAGATACGTAAGGGAAATAAACTGATAATAATAATCACTCAGCTTTAGAATACGTGACTGAAATAATTGACGGTTGATCACATGTTTAAAGTATTCAAAGCACAGATTGCCTTTTTAAAATTTGTATTAAAAATAATGATAATCGATATAAATAGAAGAAAATCAAAATATCAGATTCTGGAAGAAACAATAATATATGCATATATTACGCTGTATTTATTACATTATTTATGCTAATAAATCTGTAGAATATAATGATATCATATTACATCTTATTTAATACAAAGATAAATTTTGTAAGGTATGAATGAGCATATCAAAAATTTTTTTCGAGGAGCA